TTTTATTTTTTGAATCCTCATCTGAGGATATTTTTTCCATTGCTTTTCAGAGAGAGTGGAAGGGAAAGAGAGAGAGAAACACTGATGTGAGAGAGACACATTGATTGGTTGCCTCCCACATGTGCCCCGACCTGGGCTGGGGATCCAGCCTGCAACCCAGGTTCGTGCCCTTGGCTGGAATTGAACCCAGGACCCTTCAGTCCTCGGGCCGACACTCTACCGCAGAGCCAAACTGGCTAGGGCTGTGTTTATGCTTTAGATTAGCAAAGATTGGAAAGGCTGCTAATGTCTAGGTTGGTGAGAGTGGAAAAGAGGCACTTGCTTGCTATTGGGAGAGAAGTTGGCATGGTGCCTACAGAGGGGCAGTTTGGTAATACAGCCCATATGAAAAATAAAGATGTGCATAGTTTTTGTCCCCAAATTTCACATCTTGGCATTGATCAGATATTAATAATCGATAACAGTTGTTTAAAAATGAAAGAATTTGTATCAAGAAAAAATATCATGAGCCCATTAGTAGTGATGAGAGATATCTATATTTATTGACCTGGAAAGGTTATTTTTATCATTTTTTTAAATAAAATAAGCTTTTTATTTTTTTTAATCCTCACCTGAGAATATGTTTATTGATTTTAGAGAGTGAGGAAGGGGGAGAGAGAGAAAGAGAGAAACATCAATGTGAGAGAGAAACATTGATCTCTCGTTCGTGCCCTGACTGGGGATCGAACCTGCAACCTTGGTATGTGCCCTGACCGGGAATGGAACCCGAANGTTGCCTCTCGTTCGTGCCCTGACTGGGGATCGAACCTGCAACCTTGGTATGTGCCCTGACCGGGAATGGAACCCGAAAACTTTTGGTGTAGGGGATGAGCCACCTGGCCAGGGCTGGAAAGGTTATTTTTAAATGAACAAAGCAGTTTGCAAAGCAGAATATATAGGATGTTCCTGTTTTAAAAAATCTGTTATGTCTATTTTTGTGTATGTGCAGAGAAAAGTTTGGGATGATATATAATGTCACAATAATTGTGTTGCTGGTTTTACACCTGAGGCGTTAACCAGGACATAAACATCACTGTCTTTATTTCTCTATAACTGAGTTAGCTAGTTTTGGCTCCTAAGGCCCCAAACTTCCGATTTCCTTTTGAAAATCACTCAGTCTCTTGTTTAATGCTCAGCCCCCGGCCGAACCCTCCTTCCCCTTCCTGTGTACAGATTGCCCTGTCATGGGGAGAGGTGTCAGTGACATGCTCTCCCTGGTCTGCGGGTCCCCACCGAAGCGTCGCTCATCTGTGCCTGCGTTGGCTACACATNGGAGTGTGTACAGATTGCCCTGTCATGGGGAGAGGTGTCAGTGACATGCTCTCCCTGGTCTGCGGGTCCCCACCGAAGCGTCGCTCATCTGTGCCTGCGTTGGCTACACATGTCTGACTTCTGCTCCTCTCAAGGTGCACGAATTCCGTCAGCATTTTGTCCCCGATCCTGGGTTCTTGTGGGCCCACCATTTTGTTCAGAGCCGATTCTGATGGTCTCTTAGGCCTGGGGTGTGATTGCTTTCTTGTATCATGCTGGGGGTGCCCTCTGAGGCAGTCCTCAGGTCTATCTGTCTAGGCCCCTCCTTCAGGCTGCTCTCCTCACTCTTCCTAATGTGTTGGAGTCAGGCTTCTCTAAGGAACTCAAGTTCTCCTCGCACCACACCCTGGAAAGTGCAGAACAAGGCCCCTCTGATCTTGGGCCCCAACTTCTCCTGGGGCTTCTCTCCTGCTTTGCTCTGGGGCTGCAGGATGCTGGGCACGTCTCAGGGACCCACTGACTCTCAGCTATAGCCAGTTTCTACCAATTCTCTCCTCCTGTTAGCTGGTCAGCTCCCGACATCCTTTTATTATTTATTAATTTATTAATTTATTTAATAGTATTTACCCATGTTACTTCCCCTCCCCCCCCCATATGTTTTTATTGATTTCAGAGAGAGGAAGGGAGAGGGAAAGATAGAAACTTCAATGATGAGAAAGTCAATGATCAGCTGCCTCCTGCACGCCCCCTATTGGGGATCAAGCCTGCAACCCGGGCATGTGCCCTGACCGGGAATCGAACCTGGGTTTCCTGGATCCTAGGTCGATGCTCAACAGCTGAGCCACGCCGGCTAGGTCTGACCTCCTTTTAAGTGAAGCCTCCTCTTCGTTATCAGGAGCTCATTCCCACGCTTGTTGGTGCGATAATCTATTAATGCCTCCCCTCCTTCACGGTTCGACTCATCTTCCCAACCAAACTTTTAAAAAAATGTTTAAATACTCTTCTTTAAGGGACCTTGGTTTTACAGTTGAAATAATGGCTTTCAAGACAATAGACTGCTGTCGATTTACAAAGTCTACTTAAAAGGTTAAGTTCAGAGGCTGAGGATTTGTATGTTGGGCCTTTCCTCCAGAGCAGGTTGTCTAGAAATACCCCCTTGTACTTGAGTGGTGGAGGGATGTGGAAATGGACTGAAGAGTGTACATCCTGCTACAGTGCTCTCCTGGGACTAGAGATTGTGGGTGATTCCCACTCTTGTTTGGTCTGCAGTTTCTGAGTTTTCTACAAAAAACATGTATTTTACAATAGAAAATAAAATGACAAAAGTTCTTTTGTAAACAGAAGGACACTTCCAGGCATTTAGGTCTTTAATGCTAAAAGCTTACGTATTCATTTTTCTGTGTATTTTGATTTTTTGGTACCCTAACGAGCTCACCTCATCACAGTGAATGGACTCTGGGAGAGGGGAGGTTAGAGGTGGGGGCCAGGCTGGAAGCAGTTATAAGGGAGGGGTAGTATGGCATCTGCTTCATCATCAAGGAGGGGAGTGGGGTAGGCCCCCATTCAGCTACCTTCATGAGGCTGTGGCTTCTGCAGCATCTTAAAGGTCAGTGTCTTTTTCTTTTTAGTACAAGGGAAAAGGACTTTATTAGCAGTGGTACATGCTTTGCATTACATAGGAACCTCTTCTTAGCATGCACAACACCAACTGAACTTTGAGTAGCTAAATCATAGCAGAAATCGAATCAACTTGGAATTTCAAATAAAAGTTGGAAGTTCACCTTACAAAAAGAGAAAAAGAAAACCCCTTTTTACATCTTAAACAGCAGAACATTTTAAACACGAAGGTTTGCCCAGTCACCTTCCCACCATGCTTGAGTCTTTGATCACGCCAGAGATGACCTGATTTAAATTAAAAAAAAAAAAAAAGTTTTGTTTTTTAAAAATTGTTTTTAGAGAGAGAGGAAGGGAGAAGTTGAGAAAGAAACATCGATGAGAGAGAAACATTGATTGGCTGCCTCCTGCATGCCCCCTACTGGGGATGGAGCCAGCAACCTGGGCATGTGCCCTGACTGGGAACTGAACCTGCGACATCTTGGTGCAGGGGACCATGCTCAGTCCACTGAACCACACCGGCCAGGGTATGACTTGTGTGTTGTTTTTTTAAAAAAGCTTAAAGATTTCATGTCCATCTTTTATGGCACTCTATGTTCTCACTTTATTCTTCTGAATTTTGAATTTTGTGAAATGTTAGCAAAATAATTGTAAAAGCTACAAGTGTCTTGCATACGTGGAGATCGAATGAGGCAGGGCCCAGCTTCTATCCCGCTGTCCTCTTGGAGCTGCCGAAGGACCGTGTGGCTGACGCATTCACCTTGGCCCAGCCCTGCGGGGTTGATGAGAATTGGGCTCCAGTGGGGTGGGAAGGCTGGTGCAGACTGGTGCCCCTTCTACAAGCATCCTCCAGAAAGACATTCCCTGGCCATGCGTCCCACCCAGACAGGATGGGCAAGACTGACACGGGACCGAGGGCACAAGCTGCAGGCTCGTGATCTACCAGCTTAAGGTCCTTTTGAGGAAAGGAGGTGGGCATGGGAGTGAAGGCTTCTTTTCGGTGGGGGCAGGAGCCTGAGGAGGAGCCTTGTCGAGTGGGAGGGCTCTGGAGTCCTGGAGATGGTCTCACTGGACCTCCCTCGGCTCCCCTTGCTGCTGAAGAGAATGAGGGCCAGAGAGGGGGCAACGTATCTTTCCTGGGGACCTGTGGCCAGCTGACGGTAGAGTTGGGACCAGAGGGCAGGCCTCCTGCCCTAACACACTGCCCTTCCTGTTTCAACAGGGATGGTTGGCCCAAGTCTTACTGGTGCTGGGAGACCTGGGAGCTGGGGAAAGGCAGCTGCCCCATTCTTCTGGGCAGCTCTCTGACCCCTAGGTCCCCCTTGCTGTCATCACTGCACTGGTCCCTGTGGGACAGGCCTGAGTTGGGGCAGACATTTCCTCCCAGCTTTCTCCCCACTGCCTCCCACAGGTTTCAGGAGCAGGGCTGGGCTTCCCCCTCAGATGGAAGAGGTAGACCTGGGGTGTGAACTCCAGGAGGGCAAGGGGCTCATTGTTTTATACAAGGGGCCCCTAGAATGTTGCCTGGCTATAGGGCACTCACTATACTTTTAAAAAGTAAGTGAAGAAATGAAGAAATGACCATTGTGTTAGGGGCTGGCTCTGAGCAGGATGTGAAGCGGACTAAGCTTGATCTCAAGGGACTTCAAGTCCACTTCTGTTCCTGTCCCTCTCAGGGTCACTTTTTTGTCCGAGGCACCTGGTCACAGGGGCTGCATGTGACCCACCTGTCTATCCTAAGGTGCTACCTCTGACTTAGACGATGACAGTCAGAGAGAGGGAAAGTGTCTCAGGAGGGAGAGTCAGGTGACGGTGGACTTCCTGTCAACATTTTTGGGCAGCAAAGTCTGATTTCCTCTGAGTTTCAGGAAAGGTTGGCCCTGGTCTGAATGCATCAAGTACGGAAGATCAGGGAGCTGTAAGAGGCCCTCCGTCCGAGCCTCGAGCTGTGGCCTGGGAGGGGATGGAGCAGCCCGCAGCCCTGGCTGCCTCTTCTTGCTTGGGGGGCAGAGGGCCCCTCCTGACGGGTGCAGGACACACCCCATCCCTCCCTCGAGTTGGGGCCTGGACTCACCTGGCACAGCTGCGAGTCCTCATCAGAAGTTGGAGTCCTGGGAACACCGGAGAGGACTGAACCTGGCCGCACACGCCCCCAACGCCTGCCACGGGGACACGTTAGGGCCTTAGGCCTCGCACTCCATTCCCAGCTCTGAGGGGGACTGGAGGCTCCTTCCAGAGGAGTGGCTCTCCCTGCACCAGCCCCCAGGTGGGTTCTCTGGGTGTGACCTGGACCTCTCAGGCCACTCCTGAGCCACGGGGGCCTTTGGGCTTAGAGCTGGAGGAAGTGGGATGCTTGTCCCAGGACGCCTGCCTTCCACCCCCACCAAACATACCAGCTCCATGAACAGCCCCATCCCACAATGCATGTCAAGCCACACTCCTACTCCGTTATGCCGCCCCCTCCCTTCTTGGACTCCCCTTTTTTTCATTCTTTTGTAGCTTTTTCTTGCCCCCTCTCAGCCTGCCTTTTCCATATTAAACCAGTGAGGGGAGGTGGCTGCTCTGGACCCAGGGAGGAGGGTCTCTGTGGGTCATGGGCCAGAGAGGGTGGGGCCTCTGGGAGCTGAGGACAGTCCTAGGACCATCTGGGAGGGGCGGGCACACCTGGCAGGTGGTACGGGCATCCCAGCCCCTGGACATCAGGCTCTGCAACTGCACCGAGTGTTGTTCCACAAACTGCTCACACTGAGGAAGGAGAGAGACACGGTGTGGGTGGACCCAGGCCCACTGCAGGGCGCTTGTGCCTTGCTGTCCTGGCCTCTCCATGTATCTGGGTCACTCCAGGGCTCCCTCTGACCTGTGTAGGTCCAGGCATCAGATCCCTGAGCAGCTGGCATGGGCTGAAATGTGGGTTTCTGTGGGGAAACCCAGGCAGAAGGTCAGAATCCTAGCTACCCCCCCCCCCC